ACAATTATTATACTTTAAATATAGAATAGAAAAATGTTTCAATACTTACTGAACTTCACCACAAAAGAAGCAATCATTGGCATAAGTTTTGCCATCAGATCCACAAATTGGACTATATAATGTATAACATTGTCTCTCTTCTCCTGGTGGTAACTTTTTAAACTTACTACAATCAACCTGAAAATAGATATTAAAAATCTTCAATTCCTTCTACCAAATTTTTATTCCCAGGATTTAGAATTTTCTAAGTAAGTTTAGAAGGCTCTGGATGCATTCATTTTGTATTCTAGTTGTCTGTCCTCATCTAACTTCTTTGAAATCTATCAAGTACAGAGATGTTTTATATAAGATATAAAATCATGAGTGGTAGCTGGTAAATAAATCACCATTTATTTAAACGTAGAATCCACCCACTGTAGTCAGTACTGGCTGATGTGTCAGCTCTTAATGCTCATGGTACGTTTTGTTTCCTGCTGTCTCTCTTTCACTTAAAAAGTTCTAAAGGAATGCAAGTGTGAGATGTATTATAGAAATACTGCCATTTTAATAACTAGTACACCATTGACAACTTTAACTATTGGTAACAAATGACCTGCTATACACATCATCAGCACATAGACAGATTTATGTTAACACTAGAGTCCCGATTCACGAAATTCATGCAAGAGAAGGCCTTCCTTCCCCCAGCTGCTGGCATCGGCTTCCCTCTGGCACCTGAGACCCGGGCTTCCCTCGCAGCCCTGGCTTCGTCCAGAAGGTGTCCGGTCTAATTAGCATATTACGCTTTTATTATTATAGACTGTAGTTGATAACCACTGTTTGAAATTTCTAGAACAAAGCCAAGGGGATGAGCCCCTTGTGGGAGCCAGTAGACAAATACTAAGCAAGAATTTCCTGGGTTTTTCATCTATGAGCAAATTGAAAAGTGTGGACAGAAAAATCAAACACATTGGAATTCAAATCCTGACTCTCCGAACCTGGGACAATAATTTCACCTCTCTGAGCCTTAGTTTCTTTATCTGTAAAATGAAGGTGATATACCCACATTGTCAGATTAAAGTATCAAATGCATACCTGAGCAGATGTGTGTCCAATGCTTAGCAATACACAACATGGAAAACACTGAATAAATAACAGCTATAATTTCTCTCCCTAGGCTTCCCTTCCAGGTCTGCACAAACTCCAGTTCTGTATAGAACACTGCATTCCCAGCTCTTTCTGCCCACGAGTTCGAGACATGATATCTTACTAATTGTTTAATGTTTCTACTTGGATAACCGGAAATATGCTCAAAGTTAAAGTTGAATTCCTCCTCCCCTTCAGATTTGTTCTAGGAGTGAACTTAGTCATTCCTCTAGTCACTGAGCCCTAGTCTTAGAGCTGAGCTGAGTGCTGGAAATACAAATAGTAAGCACGCCATGACAGCAGAGGGACCTCAAGTCTAGTGGAGCAGAACAGAAAGTGTAGCGCCCCATGCTGAGGACACACAAGCATGATTTCACTTCCTCTCCTTGCCTGCTCAAATCCCAGTGCCAGAATTGGTGTGAAGGTCAAAAAGTGACCAGGAAACAACCAAGGCTTAATGCTCATCAATCCGTGTCATTCTCACACAGCAACGAAGTCGTGAAGGATGGCTTGAATTCAGGCCCGCCTGACTCCAAACTTATGTTCTTAACATTATTTTTTTAATAGGTTTAAAAAAAAAAAAGACTCACAGACGTGAAAGGAACTGCCTAGGCCACAGGGTCACACCGCTAAAAAGCTGTAGAGCTTGGACTAGAACCCATAGTGCCTGGCTGCTGGTTTAAAGTTTTTGCAGTCACACCTACATTTTCTTAATAACAATCATTACTTAACATGAGCCATGAAGGAAAGCTTCATATGAGCCAAAATCTTCATTTTCTAAGTCAGAGAACAAAGAAACCTGTGGGCCACTTAAAAATGGTAAGAATCAGGACTTGTCCTTACTGAGCTTTCCTATGGGTGGGTACTGTGCTAAATCTTTCCAAGCACTAGGGCTCTAAGTGTCACCTGATCAAAGACTTGGGACTGAAACCCAGATGCTGGTATCTAACCATTTTTTCCCCCATCACCTCCATTTCAGAAAGGTCTGTGTACAGTTTTTGAATAAAAGCAGTTTTGAAACTTTAAAAAATAACTGTTCAAATGGATAGCAACGTAATTCTGTACAATGTCAAGCTTTCCTTACTGATACAGGCATTAAAATTAGGTAAAAGTAGCACTTTCAAAGCAAGACGGATGTACTGACCTGTTTTCCAGGTGGGGCACATTCTACATCTGTAAGAAAAACAAGTACAAGAAAAAATTAATCTCTGGAAGAATCTAATCTCATTAGAAAAATAATATTTGATTTATGTTTCAGCTTTCTCAACCTGTCATGAAAAGTATAAGATTCTCTTCAGAACTTTTGTATCAGCGTATCAAAAGTGGACGCACAAAACAGATTTTTGTTTTAGAGCAGAATTAGAGTGCAGTCAAAAGCATGGAAAAGCTGCTATAATAACGAGTCTTATTTCTTCCTATCCTAATCAGAGTTTAGGAAATAGTAAGAGAAAACAATGGAGTTTTCTTTTTTTAGGAAGTGTAGCAGGCAGAGATGGCAGGGGTTGAGAATTCTAGGGAGTCAGATCTTAACTCAATAGTGGAAGGAAAGTAACAGTTCATGCTGCCCAACAGTGGGTTGCACTGCTTCATGAAGAAATCAGTCCCTGTAAATACTGCTATCAAGTCAGAGTAGAGTCTGGATGAACACTTTCCAAAGAGGTTACACAAAATGGACTTGGTCTTAGTTGACCAATTAGGTCCAACTCAGGGCCTGAGATGATATGATTTAGTGATGTATTGGTAGAGACCAAAAAAATGTGCCTTTTCAAAAACTCCCCTTATTATCTATGTGAAGTGTATACCCCAGAATTATGTGGGCAGAAGATGACAGGAGCTATTGGTATCAAGGGAGGGGCAGTGTTATGAGGGAGATACTCACAGATCAGTGCCAGGGCCACGAGCAGGGCAAAGGCTGTCACTCTCATGCTGCTGAAGAGGCGAAGGGCAGTCAGATGGAGGCAGAAGAAGTGCCTTTCTGGTGTCTGCCCAGCCACTTGCGTGCTGCTTTTATATTGTCAAGGGTTCCTGCCTCGATTGTGAAACACCTATTTGCAGGATCAGAATCCTGGGAGATCAGAAACATCTGCTGGGTATGGAAGTTCTTTTATTGTGAAAGACAGATGAATTTACATGACCGTTTAATAGATAATAGGACCTGATAAAGCTGGCATTATTTCCTTGTCTCTTTATGTCCTTAAAAGTGTGAGTGCTTTCACATCTGTTACACAATTTGATCTTCATAACAAATCTGTCACATAGTTATTACCATTGTTTTTTGTTCTACAGATGAGGAAGTGAAGTTACAAGGAGGTACAGTGATTTCACTAGTTTTACTGCATGTACTTGTACTACTTTTGCAAGAACTGTCATCAGCATAGCAGTTTATAGGTGTTCAAATAGTCCCAGGATCTCCTCTTTCCTCTCTAGTGTCAATGGAAGATGTTGCCAACTGAGACACCAGAATGGGCACAGAGAAAAGGTATCAACTGCCAATTCTTGATTAAGCATAAACAAGCAGTGACTCATACCCTTTAGCAGGGAGATAATTTTTCCAAGTATCCCACATTTGGGGATCTGGTACAACTACTGTTTCCTGAGATGGTAAAACGGATGGGGGAGCAAGTCAGGCAGCTGAGATTGAGTTTGATTAGAGATATGAGCATGGTAGGTGTTCAATACTCATTTTTACAAATTGAGAAATTGTGTTCAGTAATTAATTCGTATGCATTTTTCAAGTTCTGTGCCTTTGTACTTGCTTTCTGTTTCCCTGGAATTACCTGTCCCCTACCCAACCGACACATACTCAGATGAATTACAACTCAAGGGGAGGCTTCTTCAACACCCTAGGCAGAATTAGACTCAACTTCCTCTATGTTCCCAGAGCAATTTGGTAATTTTATGAAATACTAACCATGAATCAAGCATTATACTAATTACTAGGTATATAAAAATGTATATATAGTCCTGCCCTCAAAGAGTTTACAATCTGATAAGAATAGAAGGACACTACTACCAACTATTCAGGACAATTTAAATACAATGTAGTACAAGATGCAAGGAAACAACAGGTGAGCAAATGATGAGTAATCAGGGAAAGGCTCTAATATTTATTGTGTACATCTTGTAGGGTGCTTTGTGTTCTTTCACTTAATCATCACAACAATAACCCCATATGCCAAGCACAGGGTTTAGGTACCCACTCAAAGTTACACAGCTTGCATGTGACAGAACTAGTTTACAAACTAACTCCTGACTCCTCAGCCACTTCTCTGCCAAACCAAATTCAGAGAAGGTTTCACAGGAGAGCTACATTTGAGCTGAAACCAGAAAAGTAACAGCCATTTCCAGCAAAGGAAACTGTGCATGAACAGACACAGGGCCAGGGAAGAGGAGTGTTAGAGACAGTGTCCTTCTGAGATAATGGGAGAAGAAGAAGCTGGGTGGGTAACACCATGCTTAGGAATCTGGATTCTATACCATAGACAATGGGTAACAGATGAAGGGTATTGAACAGAGAAATAATAGAATCAGATTTACACTATAGAAAGATTATTCCAATATGGTACCTAGTAATGACTTATATCCCAGCATTTATAAGAGTGTATAATTAATTTTTCATTCTTGTTTATCTCCCCCTCTAGAGTTTGAGCTTTAATTGAACTGAACTCCATTTCATTCCGTGTGTATGTGATCACGTGTATATGTGTGTGTGTGTGTGTGTGTGTGTGTGTGTGTGCGCGCGCATTTATTTCTTGGCAGCCACTTGGGGTTCATTGTACAAAACTTTCTCCTGAACAATCAAATATGTATGTTCCTCAGTTTTCTTGAAAACTGAGATATTATACCCCGATCTAAGACACAAATACAGACAGAAGTAAAGATAAACTCTCTGGGGAGATTCTTTTAATGAGGTACAAAAAGAAGCCAGTATGTCAGTTGGGCATGAGTTTGAAAGAAAGCACAACAACTTTCCGCACTCAACAAAGATGACTCCACATCTGCCCCTGCCCCACATCCTCCCCGGCCCGTCCCCCAGAACCTCTGCCATGGTGAGGAAGAAGGTCATCGGAACCCAGGGTCGATGATGATGACACAGGATATCATTGCTCCCCACCCACATCTATGGAGAAGTTAACATCTTCCTTCATGAAGAAACTGAACCTTCCCATAACTTTTCCTGCAGGAAGACACAGTTAACAACACATTAGCACAAGAGGAAATTTTGCATAATAATAGAGCTGAAAGGAACCAAAGAGATCTTGAGGCGGAACCTCATTTTGCAGGTTAGGCAATGGATTCTCTGAAAAGGAATGTCCTTTTCAGAGGCACAAGCAGAATTTCCCCAGGCTGGTGAATCCTCCACCCCACCTGCTGCTTCCACTGATCCCAAGGACCAGGCTGGTCACCCAATGTCTTAAAACATCCAAGGAGTGATTCTGCCACAGGAAGTTGAAGTGCCTGCCCTTTAGCCTTTCCTGGTCAGCAGGACCTGTGACATAGCTGCGTCCCGCTTTAAGAGGACAGCTTCCACCACACGTTCCCTCCGTGTCCTTGAATACAAGCTAGTCTCTAGGCCAAAGGCCCAGTGTGTGAAGGTTACAGAGGTGCCACTTTGGTGAAGCAAACATTCTTGCATAGGAGTAAATAAGAACACATATCCTTCTGGGCTGAGGGCTTAGGCTTACCTTGCAATTTTAACTTGTTAAGATAATCAGAAAAATGAAAAAGACAAGATCTAAAGTGGCCAAAGTACAGTGGTCTAAAAGAGAATTAACAATGAGCAAAGTGCACTTGCTGTACAAACAGTAAATGCTAAGTTGCCTGTTCTACACCAAAGAAGGGACATCTTTCCAGTTGTTTGCCTTCAAGAACACTGTGCAGGCCACACAAAATGTGTAAAGAAATCATGCCCATGGGATGCAGGTCCAAGTGCTGACAGCTTGCATCCCCCTATTTCAAATATACTTTGATTCCAGAGAGGAAGGGAAAAGGAACTAGAGATTGAAACATCAACAATGATAGAGAATCATTGATTGGCTGCCTCCTACACGCCCCCTACTGGGGATCGAGTTGGCAAACTTGGCATGTGCCCTTGACTGGAATCAAACCCGGGAATCTAAAGTCTGCAGGCAAACACTCTACCCACTGACCCATCCCCCTATTTTAGATAAAAGAAAAAATATTTGTGGTAGCCATATTCCCTCTATCCCTCTTAAGACTACAGATATTTAGAGCCACTAGGAAACTGAGGAGGACAAAGGCCCTCTAGCCACAGTTTGTCTAAGGAAGAAGCTGTGTTATGGCCTTTTAGAAGTCATGTAGGATAATAATTTTCAATTTTTCTGTCTTTATTGATTTGAGTGAGAGAAAAAGGTAGACAAAGAGAGAGCAGAAACATCAGTGACAGAGATTCATTGACTCTTTGCTTCCTGCATGCTCCCCTACTGGGGATTGAGCCCAAATCGTGGGCATGTACCCTGACTGGAAATTGAACTGGTTACCTCGGTGCATGGGACGATGCTCAACCAATTGAGCCACTTCAACCGGGCTCAATTGTTTTTGAGTGTTGGGCTTAGGACCCTTTCTGCAAGCAAGATATTATATGGAACTCCACAACTGGAAATAGTCAAAAGCTGAACTTGGAGTTGGAGACCACCCCAGTTATCCCTTTAACACTTTAGGTGACTTCTGATTGCCTCTACAGTATCTCTGGACTCTCGGGCAGCAATTTGAAAACTCATGCTATTGTTGGACTTCAACTAAGAGATAGGAGTTGGAGGTTCTGTAATGAATGATTGAGCAAATAATGGTGGCCCAATCCTGGCCTGACTATGAGGTGGTCAGTTTTCTATCCACACCTGCTGCTTCCAGGTGGGACTAAGTACAGCTCACGGAGAGCTAAGCAGACTCATGGAAAGAAGAGAGGTTTGCAGTGGAGGGCTCTGGCCCCAGCTTCTTCCCCCTCCCTGCCCGCATGAAGTACTCACAAGTTCTCAATGCACAAGTGGCATTCATTCCCATAGGTGATATAGTCAGAACCACAAACAGGCAGGTATGTGATGGGGCAAGGGATAGCCACCACTGGGTACTTCTTGTAAATGCTGCAGTCCACCTGTGACAGACAAGGGGAATGTTCTGCATTGCTCCTGGATCCCAGGCTAGGCTAGCCTGGCCTCTATTGTACAGGAAGCAAAATACCAACCTAGAAGTTCCAGCTCAGATATTCTGATGCTGGTGCTTATACTTTAAGCAATCATGTCACTATGACAAATACCAGTCACACTGGCACCACTTCTATTATGACTTGTGCATGCAGTTAGCAATTCCTGAGCCTTTCCAGGCCAGGCATTAAACTTAAATCTTACAGGAATTTTGTTTAATCTTCAGAGCAACTGAATAGAGTAGGTTCTACTATTACGACTATTGATAGGGTTGGGGGAGATGAAGGCTTGGAAGAGAGAATTTGTATCACATAAAAGCTAGGAAGTGGTTAGGTTGAGATCTGAATCCAGAGCCTGTGCAATTAAGCAAGATCCTGCCTCTGAAATGTTGTCCTTTCCATCAAGACTTCACCAATCTCTCAACTGGAAGTCATCTCACTCTTTTCTAACTCGGGAATAATTTTAATTCTATGGTTACTCATGTCATCCTTCTTCAAACAGCAGGGGAGATTTCTTTATCTGTGTCTGCCTCCACTTTTTACCACCCTAAACATACTGACTTAATGCTCCATATATATTTGGTAATTATTTGTTGACTAAGTGACAGTCAACAGTAATGAAAATGTAATTCAATATACTCACGGTTCTTAAAGACAGACTAGCAGCTTCTGAAAGAGAAATAGAGATAGAAATGTTAATAATAAAGCGAAGTCTTGAAGTCTCATTAATTAATGTCATTTTGATCCCAGAGATTAAGACTCTGTGTTTTCTCTGGCAATAAGTCTCAGCACACACCCCATTCTTATGCAAAAATTTTGGCTGTTTGCAAACAGTCATTAGGTAAACCCTTGGTTCAGGCAAGGGAATTACCCAAATCTCCTCCCTTCCTTACCATGGGACACTTCTGGAGCTCATTGTGACATTGGTAGTGGTTTAAAGTCAGGTCGCAACAGGCGGTATGGTAGCCACCATTGCCAAGAACTGAAGCACCATCTTGGATATTCTTCCCCTTCTAATTGATATGAAGGGTTGCAATAACATTATAAGGTGTTTACATCTTCTTTTATTTCTTTAACCATATGGAAAGTCTAATTGTTGACTCCTGGCCTCTGAAGAATTGTATTTTATTTCAAACCTTCCGAATTGATTTGAGGAGGCATCCAAGTTGTTCTGCATCTTTGCTCAGAGGAATAGTATCCAATAACAGGAATAGTATCCAATATTGTATAACAACTCCCAATGTTCTTATGAAGAAAAGAGTTCATTTCTTTGTTCCATGGATTTTTTCCCAAAAATCCTTGAATGGGAAGACACTACTAGACCTAACCTTCTCCTGCCCTCCCAATTCTATTAGGGACATAAGATTCTCCTTTCCCAGGTCAGGGCTGTTTCTTTTCTAATCCAGTATGCATTTGATCCTAAACCCATATAGTTAAAAGCCACACAACCAGACACTTCTCTCAGATGCTCACCTCCTTGGAAAAACAAGCTTAATGGTTGTTCACTCTCTACCCTTCCCTCACCTGAGCTGCTGCAGAAGTAGTTCACCGAGCACAGCAAGAGGAGGCCCCCAATGATCTTCATGGTGGAGGTGGCCTCTATGCAAAGGCTGCTGAGGCTGTCACAGCAGCTGTATCAGCCATGAAGTAGGATAGGGGCCATATTTATATGGCAATGACTGGCTTCCCCGCCTCTGCTCTGAGGTGATTCAGAGTCAATGCTCCTTTGAGAGGCTCTCAAAGCACAATATCACACCCTGGGTGGTGTGGCAGTCCATGTCACTTAATTGGTACTTCCTATCTGACCAACACATTAGTTATTTGAGGTGAGAACTATTTTTCTGTCTGTCCCAAAGGTGGGGACTGGTAGAATCCTAAACCTCTTGTATTAGAAGAACTTGACTTGGCCTAGTTATGAAATAAGTGCAAATATCAAAGTTTCTTTAGTTCACAAACACCCAGATCTGAAAGATCATACTTATATTTATATTTTGACTTCTGGGAACTATAGTTTTATTTTTGAGGCAATAAACCTATGAAGCAAGCTGGGACCTAGTGGAAGGAACAGTGATTTTAGCATTTATGAAGTTTGGAGAAGAGTGTTGACATTTTCTAGCTGTGTGATCTTGGGTAAGTCATTCATGAAGCTACCAGGAACACTGGGTTATGTTGTGGTAACATATAACCCAAGGTGTACGTGGCTCAGAACAAATTATATTTTTTAATTAAGCTGAACATGTAAGGTGGTCAGCTAATGGTCCTGCATTATCTTCAACGGGTCCCAGGTGGGCAGAGTTATCACTATTTGAAATGTTGTTCATTGTCAAGATTAAGTGAAGATGTCTTCTTGAGGCTCTCCTTTTTCAGAAATTAAATATTTCATTCCAGAGCTGACACCATTGCCACTTTCCCTCACCATCCGGTGAGCTGCCCCAATCATAGAGGATGTGGAGTGTGTTATTACCTTGTCCTTGGACAACCAGATGGGGGAGAACTGAAAATAGTTTGCAAATGACACAGAAACTATCCCAGAACTTTAGCTGCATTCCATCTCGATCGGGAACTATTACTTGCCACAACATAGTTCACATAATTGGTGTCACGTACGTGACAATCCAAAGTGCAGTGCATGTAATTGTAATTGTGATGATGATGATGATTACTGATGAGACAAGAGTTTCTGCTACAGGTTCCTGACATTAGCTTATAAACTGCATTGGGCCAAATGGCTGTTGTTTGTCTACTGAGTTTAAGGGCATAGGAATGAATGAAAACCTGGGGAAGTCACTTTACTCTTCTCCCCCAATGCTCTGCCGGGTAGGTTTATTCTAGTACATTCTGAAACACAGTATCTGCAAAAGATTATAAGCTAATAAAATACGTTGAATGACTCCATAAGTTTTGAATCTTACATCTGTTTGGGGATCAATATAATCTAGTAGAAAGAATATAGCCATGGCCCAGCTGGTATGGTTCAGTGGTTGAGTGTGGATCCATCAGCCCAGGTTGCAGGCTCAATCCCCCGTAGGGGGCATGCAGGAGGCCACTGATCTATGATTCTCTCCCATCAATGATGTTGCTATCTATCTCTCCCTCTCCCTCCCTCCCTCTGAAATCAATTAAAAAACATATATTTAAAAAAAATAATGTGGTCATGAAGTCCAGTGGATTTTATTTGTGATCTTATTTTAAATATAAGTTGACTCTGTGACTTTGAGTCTATAGGTTAAGCTCTGGATATTTTAGTTTCTCATCTGTGACAGAGAAATAATGTTTTACCTCACAGAGTGGTTTGAGGGTTAAATGAGATTATATATATAAATGTGTGTGTGTGTGTGTGTGTGTGTGTGTGTGTGTGTGTGTGTGCGCGCGCCAAGATCATAATTAGAGCTTGATATATGGTACTTAATTATAGGGAATGTGATAACTCTTGAGGAAGGAATTTGTATGACCCTTATTTTATCAGGGAGTAAGTTGAGGCTCAGAGGATTTAAGTAATCTCACCCAAGACCAAGATACGAATTAATGGAGAAGACTGCTTTGAGTTCAGTCATGGAAAAGAAGCAAAGAAATCATCCTAATAAAGAGATTTTGTAAGTCTTATTATTTCTATGAACTTGTGAAGAGAATGAATACTGAAAAAAAGCCATTATATTTCAAGAATAGGAGTCATCACTGCAGTTTGAAAATGCAATTTTAACAAAGAGGGGTGGGAATGGAATCAATGGATGACCAGGGTAAAGTGGAAAGATAAGGCTACAATATTGTTGTTTTCTTTTGTTGGTTTTTTTTTTAGATGTGTGATAGTAAAGGGGAGGAGGAGAATGGAAGAGGCAAATGCTTCAGAGAGGTCTAAGCTAGACTGTGCATGCCTTAAAGCGAAAGGGAAGAACTTTAAAATACATGCTGTAGGGTGGTTAATTAGAGGAATTAGAAAAGCAGGAAATAAGATGAACAGCACACATTGAAGCACCATTCCCTCTGATACAGAGACAGAGAAGACTAGATGAATCTAAAGAAGATACTTTGAAAGGTTGAGGGAGAAGGATGTGGAGAAACCCATGGTAAGGTTGGGTCCAGCTTTTAAGTTCTGATGGTGACTCTGGCAGTGCAAGATTTGGGTTGGTCTGGAAGCTGGAGAAGGATGGAGAAGGCTTGGCACAGTCATCAATGGGAGCTGTCAGAGAGTCAACAGGGCTATAAAAATGAACAGCCACTAGACAAAATCGGCACTAGATATTAGCAGGTCCTGGCAGCACCATGCTGAATACTTCTGTATGGTACTGAGTGAGCAATGGAAAAAAGGGATTTTGTGGACAGAGAGTGTGTACATCAGAGACTTGAGGGGGAGCCATAAAGACTGTGGTCGGCTTGGAAGAGAGTTAAGTGTTCAAGAAAATTCTGATGGATTATGCAAGGTGTGAGCAGTTAAGGATTTAGAGGTCAAGGTTTGGGCTTTGTGTGAACTCAAGTAGGTGTGGGCAATATGAACTTGAACAATTGTGTATGGAGGCAGTGGCTAATAGGCCAAGTTTCAGATGAATTTCTCAGGGGCGGGGCTAAGATAATGATCCTCAGGGTGTATCTCAAGACAAAACAGATGAAGAATGGGTGGAGATAAAGGTCTTTGGGTTTTAAAAGGTGAGGAAACGTGAGGTCAAATGATCAAGTGTGAACTGTTTTGTAGTTTGGCAGCTATTCACAGGGAGAGAACATTTTCAAGCTGCACATTGAGCCACAAAGTGTAGAGGGTCCTTTGGGAGTGAAAGATAAGCCTGTGAAGAAAAACAAACAAACAGACACTGTCCATTTTTTGCCAAGGAAAGTTTATTTATTCCTCCTCATATTCCTGCAAGGGGCCCAAACTGGAGGCCTTGTCAGGGAGGACCACTACAACAGTGTTTCCACTCTAGGGAAGGCATGACAGAATGAAAAACATAAAAATAAAAACAAAGGTATGAAATAAGAAGACAGTTTGAGAGTGTTGAATCCTTCATTTCTTTCCCAGTGGACTTGGGGTGCCACAGGGAAGAGAAAGGTGGCCCATAGAGGGTTAGACACGTGTGAGAGAATTAATTGGAGCATGGCTTGAATGAAGAGTTCTGGGGTTACTTAGCTGGAGGGAAAACAGCACCACAGCTGCGCAGTAATCCAAGTACAGAATAATGGCTGTTGTAGGACATGGAAGTAATAATATGAAAATCAACCATGTAATAAGCACTTACTCTGTGGCAGAGCTCTGCTACACCTGCTGTGTGCATGATCTCATTTAAGGCTTCCACTAATCTTATAAAATAGAGGTGGTGTTTGTCCTGTTATTTAAAGGCTGCAGTGGCTTAGAGAAGTGGCTAGTTTAAAGTTAACGGCCAATGCTTTTAGTAACTCTGATGTATTGTCTTCACATTTAACTTTAGAGATAGATTTGAAGACACATTCAACATTGGAATAACAGGAGTGGACCTGGCAGAATCAGAGCAGTCAGGAAGGACAGCTGATGTTTCCAATGAGCCAGAGGGAGTTGAGCAGTGGGTCAGAGTGCGTGGCATTTTCATGGGTGAGTATCATCTGGAGAGAGGGATGGGGACAGGGGGTGATTGAGAGTCAGGAGACAAGGGTTCTTTCCCTGTCCCCTCACCGTCATCTATCAGAGGTGCAATGTGTGACAGTCCCTTCTCCATGTTGTGCTTCCTGCTTCCCAAACATCTAGTGAGATTAGCCTAGGTGGCTGCTTCGAGTTCTCCAATTAAAAATTAGTATTCCTACATGATCTCACTTATTCATGGATAATAGAGACCATTATAAACTTTTGAACAATAATAGATACAGAGGCAGGGCTGCCTCAAACAGATTGTCAAACTGCAGCGGGAAGGCCGGGGAGGGTTGAGGGGCAGGAGGAAGGGGGGTAAGAGATCAAGCTAAGGACTTGTATGCATGCATATAAGCATAAACAATGGACATAAGACACTGGGGTGTAGGGGAGGCCAGGGGATTGTCAAGGGCGGGGGAAATAAAAGGACACATATGTAATACTCTTTGTAATACTTCAAGCAATAAGAAAAAATATTATGCTAAATAAAATGATTTTCCTTAAAGCTCTTAAAAAAATTAGTATTCTTGGACACTAACTTGTACGAATGATGAATAAGGCTGATTTGGGGTGAGTGGCAAGAAGTTGGAATTCCCCTATGTATTTAGGTTTTTATCTCCTAATTGCTGCACCAGCCCACCCCCAACCACCAGGCTCCTTCCTTTCTGGCATCCAGCAGAGACTCCATTCAACACCCTGCAGGCGAGGCCTTCTGGTGACAGTTTTTAAATCCATGGTCCAGATTTGGCTGCACTAGCTCTAGCCTTTTGTCTGTCCTCTTCTCCCTCCCTTATGTGATGATGCCTTTACACTACAGCTTTCTTCTTATCTTCTTGTTTTCAGTTTTTGATGCAGTCCCTACTGTGGTCATGCCTCTGTGTGCACTGAGGCACAGGGACATTTGCATTTTGATCTTGTATCTAGCAGGAGTTCAGTCCATTTCTCCTGGGAAAAGGAAGTGAGCACATGCAGGAATATTATATTTTGGTTCTACTCAATTTTCTTTGAATGATTAAGAGTAAATAGTTCTAATCATGGAACTATTGAATTGAATAGTAATGATTTTTTTCTGTTGGTTCATGTTGCTCCCAGATGACAGCACACTAT